ACTACTACTACTACTACTACTACTACTACTACTACTACTACTACTACTACTACTACTACTACTGCTACTGCTACTATTAACTACTTACGACAGGTGTGATTCTTGCGTTAATTGGACGCACGGGCGACGATCAGCGCGCCAGCGTCTATTCTGTTTTGTTTCGTTTGTTTGTTTGTTTCTTGTTTGTTACGAGATTTTACACTGGCAAGTGGCAAGGCGTGTGCACCACCGTATTCGTACATCAAAGCGTGCCAGACGAAATTTATTCGAGTCGTTCGGCGCGAAGGAAACACTTCTTTTGCATAGAGTACCCAGCCATGTATCGTGATATTTTCAGATGAGTTTGCTAGGTCATAATGAACGAAAAAAGTCCTATCCGCTATTGGCGTTATTTTAATCCTTATAACAAACACGTTGCGTTTTGTCTTGATGTGAAATGTATGATGGTGCCTGTCCTGAGTCGGCGCAATCTCCAGTGACTGTTCAGGGCCACTGTCTTCACCATACCGCTCACCTATACTCAAACCCAACGCATGTTTTTTTCGACCGAAACTCGATAAATGTATTCTCGTACTGTACGTGGCATTTTCGTTCATAATAACTTTGAAAATATATTGGATTAGTTGGTCGATAATCTTACAGGTTGTTCAAAAAATGTGGGATTTCTTTCTTTTGTGATCAGTTTATCATGCTGATATAAATGAGGAAGTTCTTTTCCTTTTTGCAATCCGAAGTTTCGTTATCGCGCTATCCAGCTGACCAAGATACAAAATAGCGCGTGTCAGAAGTCACATGACCAAACTTTGAACTCTTTCTATCTAGAAAACGAAATTTCAAATTACAAAATGGCAAAAGACGTTTCAATTTCTTTTCTTACACGAGGAATCCACATTGATAAAACACTCCTATGCTATATGACAGGAATGCATCAAACAGTTCAAGACTTTCATCTGCTTCTTCGAAATTATACGTCTCTCTTCGATGTTGTAGGATTTAAGGTTTTCGTAGCACTGAACGGCTCGAACGAGTATCACGCGTTACGGTCAAAGATAACAAAAAAAAAGGGGAAAAGAGAAATGATTGTGAAAATCACCACAGCTACCTCCATGTTATTAAATATCAGTCTTCTTCTCGCGCTATACTCACGCTCATATTACCTAAAGCATATGTTATTTTACAATATTCGGACGAGCAATCTGCCGAATCCACGTCTCCGTAGCGAGTATATATTATATATAATTGTGTATACACAATATTTACACATAGTCAGAGCGCGAGGTAATATAGCTTCCACGGATTATAGGTTTAAGAATTTGCCTCTTTGCGCGAAACAGTCGAGCTAGCGCGAAACATATTAAACACGTAAGATCGAAAGAACGAAGAAAAAACGACAAAGATAAAAGAGCAATGGATGAAGTCCGCAGAGAAGAGAGTCGAGCCTCTTGGTGGTCCTTCGACTGAATTTTAACGAAAACGTAAACTGCTCGAAACAATTGGAGATTTCCGGACAGTTCCGCTCGACTGAAATACAGAATATTTAGTACAGAAATATTTTTATTATATTCTAAGCATGTATCGCAATTTTCTTGGTCACCGAGAGCGTCGGTAAATAAACGAAACAATGATTCACGTAGGCAACGTAAGTTTAATTGTGTTACCGCTTTTTGCTTTCGCAAACAAAATTAACGTCGTATTACGAGGTAATAATTCTCTAAGGAAGAGAAGTCGCATCGAGGACTGCGAAACATTAGAAGAAAATTATTCCCAAGAAAATCGTGATGCGTTTTTCGAACTCTACAGAGCAAGCACCAAATAGCACATACATATATTTTTACTGAATATTTATCTTCGTAATTATAGTACAGACGACCAACAGCACTGGTCGTCCCGTGTGGCAAGAAATTGCCGAGTCGAAGTAGAATCAACTGGTCGCTCGAGGCCATCGACAAGTTATCCCTTCCATGGCACAGTTGGGGCTATCCCCACTGCTCTAACTGTTTCGGGCGGTACACGAACTCGAAGAAGAGGCGCACGACTCGATAACTACGCCGTAAAGAACAAAATACAATGGAGCTACCTCACTTTAACGATAGATTTACGAGAGCTGGTTATTTGTATAGCTGTACGTATCCCGCGTTGAATTGTCTCGACAAAAGTGGAGAAACCCTCATTCACTGCCAAGCTGCGCGCGGGCTCGACTGTTCCGCGAGCGACAGTGCTGAATTCCAAAATCACAATGCAATACGTTGTACTTACAGTCGTTTTTACGCGTTGACTCGTCGATATAATACCGGTTAATGATTTTACTGCTGCATTGAGAGTGAGAGAGACGCAAATCGAAAGAGAACCGATTATTTCGCGTGATTGTGTGCGGATGACGTCGCGTGAAAGGGGAATGGAGCGAATGTTTAGATTTTAAAAAACGGTTAGAATTAGCGAGCGCATGAAAGATAATCGAATAAACGATCGGATGGCCTCCTAACTATACGCATATATTATATATTATATATATATAATATATATAATATATATATTATTAGAAAGTGAGAAAAAGAGAAAAAATATAAAATATACCTATCTACGTGATATTTTACAGAGAACATAATCAGGGACGCGACGTAACCTATATATATATTATTATATATATAGAGTCTTTCTAGTGATAGAAACCATAACTCCTAACTTATTTTGTAACTCATGTCGGATCTGAGAAACACGATCGCGTGGCGAAACCAATGAGCGTGCAATCTCGACGTACGGCGTGGCTAATGGTATTTTAAAAAGAAAAGAAGGATATTTAGAACGGTATCGTTTCTATGAAATTGTAAGATTAGAATGAATCGCACGGAGGAAATGCGAGATGAAATTGCACAGGAAATATACGACGAAAATCGGGTCTTCTTCGCTTGGCGACATATTGGTTTCGAGTTGACCGCGCAAAGAACGATTTTCATCGCGATCGTCGTCGATTTGTAACGAATGATTTTACTCTTTCACAGAAGAAAAGATGGATTTCCTTTTGTAATCGTATCAATCGTGGATTCCTCCGAGCGATTGTAATGTTTCTCGCTAAACTTCGACTCGTTGGCACATCGGGTACGGTGTTGGGCAAAATTATAGTAATAGGTAATCGGTAATTGCTATTAATGAATGATCAAACACGATTTGGTAGTCGTAATTACAAATTATTGATTTATATTTATAGAATACAATTATTGTTTACGATTACTGGTTACAAATGCATGTTATAATTGCTGATTACAAATTAATATACGATTATCGATTAATGTAACAATTGCAAGTGGTTACTACAAAAGTAATTACATGGTAATCACTACTCAACTGTGAATGTGTTAGACAAAATATAATCCATGATTGCGGATAACGAGTAATTGATAATTATGATTAACGAAAAATCATCATAGAAAAGAATCTTCGATCATACTTAACGAATAATCGAACATGATTAGCTCCAAATATTCTAAAATTATCGATTAATGTTGTATATCATAAATGTAATCGCAGAATGATTACTACTCGACTCTGAAAGTTTTCGACACAATATAATTTATGATTGTTATTACCAAGTAATCAGTAATTATAACTGATGAATTATCAGTACTCGCGATTAACAAGTGATGAAACATGAGTAAGCCTCGAATGATTACAAATTACTGATTTATTATTATATACTACAGATGTAGTGATCAAATCAGATGTAGTAATCAAATGTATATGCGCGACTATTACAAAGTTAATCACAGAGTAATTACGAAAGTAATCACGAAGTAATCACTGCCCAACTCTAAGCAAGCGAAACAGACGCCGTCTGTCTGCGAAACGTATTATCGATCTGCTTGTTATATCGTTATCGGCACCTTCCTACCAGGGCCATTCATCCATTATCGTATCGCTAGCCGACGACGTAGTTTGCATATTGATCGCGGAGAGCAGATGTGTCCCGAGTGCCGTTTTTGGTCAAACGAGAGAGTTTTGACGTCGTTCGCGAGAAAACAACGAAACGAGAACTACCGAAAAAAGAAACGATCGAGAAAGAGATACACCACGTCATCGAGACACAGCCACCTCGTTCTTTACTTTTACGGTTAAACTATCATTTAAGGTGCTTCAAATATTGTTACGTTACGTTTTTCCTTTTCTTTTTTATTACCGTCATTTATAATAATTAATGTTATTATTATCATTATCATTTCATTATTAATTAGCTTCGCTAGATCGCGTTAGAAGGATGTACGTCTGTCTCCTGGCAGGAATTCGAGGACTACACGAGCGTTTACGTTTTCATTACGTGGAATTGTAACAAAAAAAAAAAGAAAAAAATAAGAATCGTGTGCACATAGTATTCGAACCGAACAAGAGAGTGATTTTCAACCTGGAATTTATTTTATTTGATTTCATTTCTGCGTGTTTTTCTTCTTTTCTTTTTTTTAAAATTGATTCTTGGAAAAAAAGTTTCTCGCCAACGAGACAGAGGCAGACTTCGGGTCTTGCTGTACGTGAACGAGCCAGTAAGTCAGGTATATGTCCTGCCTTTTCTTCTTAAATTCTTACGTTTCTCGCCATCTTCCCATTCTCTCTTTTATTTTGTAAATACCATAAAGTTTATTTATCTATTATTACATCCGTTTGCGGCTCACGAGTTCTGTTTTCATATTTCTTTTTCTTCTTCTTCACCTTATTCTTTTTTGTAATCTTGTCGTTCTATTCTTTCTGCTCCCTTCGCACGTACTATGTTACTACTTACGTTCTTTACATTTTTTTTCTTTTTGCCATTTTTAGCATGTAAGCCATCCAACTTGCCAATACGATTACAATAAATATGTTTGGAAAGAAGAGACAAGTGAGATGCGTTTTCGTTTTTACGCCCATTTATTTCAGTTTCTTCTATTCTCGCTCGTTCAGTTCGAACGTAAGTATTTCTGTGGTGTTTCTTTTGGCGATTTGCGAGGCGCGGTGACGTTG